ATCCCATGGTGCGGCACTGTGAGGGTGATGCGCTGAATTCAATAGTCTTTCTGTATGGTGTGATGGAATGCCGAATGGTGGATGAGGAAGTACCACACGACTTCTCTCCATCATAGCAGACACAGAATTCACATCAGTTCGTGGTCTCTCGGGGGTCACAATAACAACGTCACTATCTTCTTCCTTTTCATCCACTTTCACTTCGTGTTTACTTTTCACATTGTCAAATGCACTCTCTGATTTACAATTTTGTTGCAAGAGTTTATTCTCCATGTCTTTAGAGTTTCTTGACGGCGACTCAGAAATATCACGCCTTATTTTCATGTCTATTATACTATTAGATTCAAGTTCACAGATTTTGTCTTGAGAATTGTTCATTTCCCGTTTCTTTTCTTTATCAGCACTTTTCTCACTTCCCTGCTCTGAGTGAACCGAAGAGCGCTCAGAATGATGATCATTTTCCCTATAAAAACAAACAGCATGTTAGAATACTTAAAGGTGATATATTTTCATGTCTTCATTGAGTGGGTAATTCTTGAAACAGTCCTGAATCTGAAATGCTTTATTTGACTATTCCTACAGTGTTTGTAATGTCAGTGGTCAGTTCTCATTTTGTCATCTATTTCTCATGGACCCTAACAACCTTGTGTTGTTTTCTATGGCAGCAAGCAATCCTGTGACACTCCTGTGACATTTCCTTCAAAAACTGATGTCCACATAGGTGTGCAACTGAGCATGATTTACTACTATATACACATTCACATCTTGTGTCTGTGCACTGGCTGGCAATTACCAGTTCCCACCCTACGTCTAAAAAAATGTGTTGTCTGATGCTACTGTTATTAATATTCATGTATATATCAAACATTTGACTTAAAAACAGGTGTACAATCATGTATTTGGCCATCTTTAGTTTGGATCAGTTTCTTTATTTCTGTTTCGTTTTTGATGCAGAAGACGCTATTACGGAAATCACAATTACTGATTGGCCTGGGATTCAAATGAAGTCTATTGACAGCTGTCTGATGTATTATGCAGCTTCATAATAGTTTACGAAAGCCACTCACTGTGTGGCTCACACTTTGATATGTTTGGCAGGACGGCCACTATGGTATTTTGAATCTGTGCAACTGTGTGCAAACAATTGTGTTTTCATCGTTTCTGGGTTTGAATCAGGTATGTTCGCACAAAAACATTCTGCTGATAGCCCATGTGTTATTAATATCATCTCCACTACCAAATGGTAGCAATACAGTATATAACCAAGTTGTTACAAAGTGGTCAGGGGGTTCTGATTTTTAGTCAATTTATAAATTTCAAGCACATACCGTAACCTGATAATACCAGCATCTTTGTCATTGCTCATTGCCCTATTTTCCATTCTTTCCAGTTCATGTATTCTGCGTTCACGATCAGCCTCATTAACACTGGCATTTAGAGCTTCTCGTTCCCTGTCAGTTTCAGTTTTCAAACCAGGCCATGGTGGCGGTGCCGTAGGAAAGCTTGGCGGTGTCCTGTGTAGTCTATTCCAGGCATCATGAGGACTACCCAATGCATGCAGACTGTTCATATCTCGATGTGTCAGCAAACCGTTACCTGCTGTCAATGAAACAAACATAAAATATCAGCCAAAAAAAAACTTAAAAGAAATCGAATGTGCTACATGCTACCTACCCAATATGTCAATGATTTAGCCACCAAAATGGTGCCCAGAGTAGCCACTGAGTTGGTCTTTTTCATTTATTTGATGATTTCACTCAGAAAAATAATTTAAGTTATTTGCAAAGATAGCTGTAACCAATCTCCCCAAATTTGACAGATAATACAGACAGCAACAGCCCATCTCTACAACAAATCTCTACATAGCAATGAACTACATTTGTTGCCATATGATTTGCAATCGGGCTTGAAATAAATAGCTAGTTTATTTTCGCAGATTGCGCAATGATAGAATATAAATGTTGAATACCTAATCCAGCCAGACTAAATCCACTACCTATTGAACCATATCCCAGTGCTCTTGGGAATGGAGGCATAATTAATGGCCCAGTACTGCCACCAAGGAAATGATGACCACCACCGCCCCCATTACCAAATGGATTTGGTGGGCCTGCTGCACCTAAAAATTAAAATCATACAGACACACAGACATCTTCAATTATTAAGCTCTGATGCCATATTGTATACTTCACAACAATTTTGCTGAATTTCATAGTATGTTTTTTGACATAAAATCTGCAATCACTAAAAAAGTCATTATTCAGAATACTCGAGTTCATGTTTGTTTTTTCATGCTAACATTTTGGTACAAAACAGAAGCGAAGGGTTTTGATTTCCGTAAATACTACATTGTTAGGTGTACTCACCAGTAACAGGGGAGTTTAGAACAAGTTGATCATGAGCCCGTTTTCCTGTATAAGTAAAAAAAAAATGTGTTCCATAATTTAAGAACATTACGCAAACATTCAAAGGTAACAAGCATGCTTATCAATAAGCTGGTCAAGTACCCAGGGCAAGAAAATAACAGGTCAAGTACCCTGGGTAAGGAAATAACAGGTCAAGTACCCAGGGTAAGGAAATAACAGGTCAAGTAACAAGGGTAAGGAAACAAGTCATTGAAAATGACACAGTCCCCGTTAAATTTTTGAAAGTTCTCTTTGTGCTTGTCATATTAAAGCGGGGATGGTTGTCGCGAACGTGTCCTTGAAACTTGAGTTCCAAGTGGAGTATACAACAGATTGTTTATTTACATCAAAACATGTGTTCCGTGTAGTAGTAATATGGCCAAAAATAAAAACAGCCGTTATTTGGCCATCTTTGATCTGATTATGAAACACACTGATATGTATGATGTATGTGCCAAATACGAAAGAAAATGGTACATAAATTGTGGAAATATAGTAGTAAGGCCAAAAAGTCAGATTGCTGTCAATCTGCCATCCTTGACCAGATTTTGAAACAAATTGTCATGGACATGCATTCTAACATGTAAAAAGTACATGTATGTGCCAAATTTGAATGAAAACTGACAGAGCACTTCCAAGATACGGCATAAAAATAAAAAACAAGATGCCTGCCAGTCGACCATCTTTGATCCAATTACGAAATAAATTGTCATGGACATGTAACCTAACATGTATAATCTATGTACCAAGTTTGAATGACAACTGACAAAGCATGTCCAAAATACAACATTTTCAAAAAACAAGATGGCTGTCAGTCGGCCATTTTTAATCGAATCGCTAAACCACTGCATGTG